AGAAAGAAGTTAAACTGCGATCCTAAATAAACTGCACTGGAAACATGCTATAACCACTTCAGGATTAACATCTTGTGACTTGACCACTTAGCTTGAAAAGAGTTAGTGTATTTCATATTCCATCCCTGTACTATTCCCACACTGGATCAATTACCCCGTAAAATAAAGAAAATAAAAAAAAAGCATATAATCAAGGTGCATTAATTTTGCTCTTTTAGACAATAAATTAGAAGTATATTAACCTCAACTCTGTTGGAGGTGGAATAATATCCAATATGTATTGCACTTCCCTTTCTTTAACTTTTATACAAAAATTAAGCAGCTTTTACATTTTGTTGATGTTTTGGAAAAGGAAATTCAAGGAATCTGTCCAGTTCACCTTTGTTATACAGGCTTTCATGTGTGAAAGTTATGAGGAAGTTTAAGAAACAACTATGAACCTGTCAAGTTATGCTACCAGACAAAAAGTTCACTTTCCAGCTTGTAATAGAAATCAAAGCTAAATGTGACACCAGGATAGTTTTCCTCACGGCAATTTAAGGTATAGGTTTACAATGCATTAATATCGCAGTGGCAGGTGTACCTACATTGTGAAGGGTATCTGACATTCCTGCACTCCTGCAGACTAAACCTGTTTTGCCAGCTAATACTTTTGTGTATGGGCTTTTCCTGTGCTGTTAGAAATGTACTCTTTGATTCTGTATCATTTAAAGAGTAGTGCTTGATCCTGCTTCATGAAAATCTCTGATTTTGTATTGTTTACTTAGGAGGAAAAAAAAACCACATTTAAAGTAGAGGATTTTACCTTCAAAAATAGTCCTGTTTGTTCTAATTCTCAGATGGGTTGTTGCATCTATCCTTTATAATCTCTTGCTTTCTCTACATATTTCTGTACCTTGAAGGTCTTATCACCTCTCTGTTAATGCTGTTTTCTTCCTGAAAAATAATTTTTAAAGAGTGAGAAATAAACTAGTTTTGGTTCCAGAAAACGTAAGACTTTCATTTCCACTTTTCCTGTTTAAAGGTATAAATAATTCTGCTTTTGGAGAGCAGCTAATTAGGACCTTTCCAGAAACCTTATTGTGCATTATACGGCCTGCCATGATCAGAAGTCTCTGTCTCTGACATCCATAATGATGGCATTTACTAATCTTCTCAACAATGCTTCTCAAGTCAGCAAAAAGAAGGGAAATTTAGGTTGCTGTAACTTTAAAACAAGTTCTGTTTTTTTTTTTTTCTCTGAAAGGCCATGCTAATTCTATGTATATGAAATTTCAAGAAGATTAATAATAGATAGCAATTTTGGATATTTGTTTTTAACCTTGTTTTATGGAAAAAGTCCAAGAGGAATAAGATATACCTTAAGGCTGGTTAGTCGGGAAAGGACAGAGGTTTTTCCCTATATTATCAGTAGGTAATGGTTAACTCATATTTTAGCAACGTGTATGTCTGTGGTAGTGATGTATTACGGGTTAGTTTGGTTCAGTGTAGCTTTTAGTATGTGCCACCACTTCTTAAGACCAATAATTAGGAACACAAAATTCTTTTATATTAAAAGACTTTCTTAAAAATCAAGACTATTTTAAAATTCTGAACATGTATAAAACATGTTCTGTTAGTAAGATGAGGCTTTGGAATGTGGATTTTATTGGCTGAATATAATGCCATGAAAATGGAACTGGGTTTTGTAAAGGTCTTGATAAATGCAAGTAGTGTCAGGTGAGAGCTTTATGCTATGCCAGTACACATGTACAAAGTGAACCATTGAAGATATGGTTCTTTCACAGAACTTAACACTAACATGCTTAACACCAGTGAAATGCCTTTTAGTAATGTTCTTCAGTACATTTTTTTACTACAGAGCAAAGCCCTGAATTTCTGCCCCAGTCTTTTGACACTGCTGTATGCTGCAGTTCTCTGTGGCTCTTGTGGCTGAGCGTAAGAGGGCTCTGCAATCATTGTTGATATCTGCAGGAAGGAGTTCTGCTTGTGTCAGTGGGTTTATCAGGAGTTACAGATGAAGTAGAAATTACTTCGAAGTGATTATACCATTTGTGGACACTGATTTTATAGTAAAACTAGGCCACAAAACTGAAGTGAGAGCAGAAGTTGTTTTACTAAACAGTGTTAAAAACAATGTTATCAAATCATCCAACGTGTTTCTGTTGTCATGTACTGGTCTGTCTCAAAGAAATAAAACCCCACTTGCTTTCTTGACAGCACAAAAGAAACTGACTGATGTAGTTTAGTTCGGGAGTTAAAAATGCATTGAAAATAATGGGGCATAACACTCTAGGGTTAACATTTATTCATAGATGATGCAATTAAATAAAACAGGCATTAACTTCAAGGTCAGTCATTAAAGTAATAAAAGTGAGTATTTTAATTGAATTGTAATTGCTTCCCATTGATACATGAAAGTTAAGTAAAATAGATGTCAGTGCTGCAAATTATGGTTTCCTTCCTAATTAATTTCTTAATTCTGCATAGAGTACTCCAGGCCCTGGACCTTGTTGTTGGTTTATCCACTCATCCAGCTTTATTCACATCTAGTTTCATGAAATATCTGGAGGATGTGGTTAAATGGAATGTACTAAGAATTTACAATACATTATTTTTCTTTTTGATCTGAATAGTTTTAAGAATCTGATTAAATCTACTCCTTTGTTTAAAGAAAAACATACCAAATAGAAATATAGATTTATACTAACTGTTCTGTAAGTATGGTTATAGATACTTTAGCACACTGATAGTAGCAGAGGACATATAGCTTCATCTGTACATGCATACCTTTCGAGATTTGAGATGTGGATTACTGGTTCTGCAAATTTCAAGTTCCGTTGATTCTTGATGGCTGTAGCAGATGGTCTTTATTCACTGACAATACAAACCTATTGGAAATTAAAGGAAACAATATTCTTCCAAAGAAAGAAAAGCTATCCAAAAATAGAATTCTACTGAGAAACAGAAGGAGTACATTGCACTTTCACAGATTTTAATGTAGGTGTGGGATATTAGTATTTACCCATAGTGTATACACAGGCAAATTATTTGTATAAGTATACTATTTGTATAGTAGTTTCTTTTAAATTATTGGTTTTTTTGTTCATTAGGTGGCAGAACAGTAGGTATATCCTTCTCAATATCAAAGAGAATTCCAAAAGAAATAATATGTTAGTGTGTCTGGTTCTTTTTCCCTTTTCACATGCTTATAATGTATCCCTTGGTGTAAATTTAAAGGAAACCAATTTGTTTTTATCAAGGAGAGGAGTTCCTTTTTGTAGAAAAGTAATTATGTCAATTAGGATTGTTAATGTAAATGTGTGAAATGGGTACTGTAATACAGTACTTGCTATTACTTGTTTATTTTAAGAGAAAAATGCTTGTTTAGCCTAACACCTGTCCCATTAAAATCAAAGACATAATGCTAAGCTGGTGTAAGTTGCAAGACAATACCAGAATCATTGGAACTATTGAAATGAAAAGAAGATATTTCAAAATTGTTTCCACAAGCATAAATTATCATCATCTTATATCTAGCAACACATATTTTTAGTCTGCTAATAAAGAGCAATAAACCAATACCAAAAAAGAATAGAGGGAGGAAGAAAACTCAGTCCTCTTTCATTTTAATTATTAAGCAGTTTTTAAAGTATTCCCCTAGATAGTAAGGGAATTTTTAATGTGCTTTAATGAAATATTTAAAAACTTTATTAATGTTTTGAGATCTCATTCACTCTAACTTGTTTTAGTTTCACAGGAATTTAAATATACCAAGAATATCATTGTAAAAATTAAAAGGCATATCAGCTATTTGAATTCAGCAATGACTTTATATAATAGTATACCACACATTTATATAACAGCTTTCATCATCAATGATCTAAAGTGCTTTGCAAGGCATGTACTTCAGAAATAGCTTCTAAATGGAGTCATTCTGGTGGCAGCTCTTTAATGATACCCATAAAGCAGTACAGTGTGAAAAAATAGACAAGTACTGCAATTGGCGCAAAAAACCCTCAAACCACAATAATTAATAGTAAAAAATCTGATCACTGAAAATTTTCCAGTGTTCCTTCACTTTCAGACATCATCATTTTTTTTTTTTCTTATTTACTTCGTATGTTAAGACCTTCTGACCACTCTAGTGTCAAATCCAGCTAGGTCATTTATTTGATTGAAGAAGATGTCAGCTCTAGAAACAGTTGATCCTGGATGTTTTTTAACCCAGTACTGGTTTTTGCCCATTATTTGGTTTATTCCAGTGACAATTTAACAGCCATGAGTTGGCAAAACTCATTAAGTCAAAAAGCTAAAACAGGAACACAGAGGGGCAAGTAAAAGGAATTATCAAATGTTAATAGGGTTTACTTTTTTTACCAAGAAAAATAAATACAAATGTAGATGTCATACAGAATATTTTGTGATGGATCAAAAGATACAATGTTCGAGACATTCTGTAAGTCTGAGCTTTCTTCATATCACCGTCCTTTTTAATTCTTACCTTTTTTATGTGGGTGACACACACAGAGGATGTGATTTAGCAAAAAAAGTTATTATTATGGAAGACAGTCTGTGTCCCTTCCAGCAATTTGCAGAAACTATGAAAAATTGCTTTGTATTTTAATTTAATAGTTATCTACAAAGGTAACTTCTGATTCAAAGAGGTAGTTTCTGTTTAGTATTTTTACTACTGGGGACCCATATGTTTACTTCACTGATTACTGAAATTTCTAAGAAAGGAAAACAGCAGCATTTCCAGTTGGTACACAGAGAAATGGTAATTACCCTTATTTTTCCACAAACATGGAAACCAGTTGCTCAGAGGGGATGTGAGAAGATTCTGAATAAGTCTGTTTTCTTTAGGATGGAAATTATTTTAGATATAGTGGGTCTAAGTTTCTAAGAGAGACATGCTGTATTAAAAAAAAAAAAGTATTTCTGCATGTCATAACAGTACTTTGTTATTTTTTTTACTTTTTTTTTTTTTCCCCCGCCAGGTTTAGATCCAGATAAACATCTAGGAAAAACTCTGGATCAGATAGAGCCTGATCTTTTGGAGGTGAGTATTACTTAAAGGATGCTCATACAGGTAAAGTTGCAATTAAAAAGTAACATAGGCAGAAATTCAGTAAAATTAACTTAATAAAAAATTACTTGGTTACTTCCAGAAATTACGCACTAACCCAAGGCTTATCTTTCTGCATAGGATATAATCATCTGATATGCACTTTCAATATGAAAAACATACTTTGTGGAAGTAGTTCACAAATGGTCCAAGAATCTTTAAAACAAACTAAAGGCAAGAAACCTCAGTATTAAGTGAACACAACTCATATGTCAATATAATAAAGCTAAATAATTGCATGCAAGTTAGAGACTTTCACAGCAGGGAATGTTAGCGGCAATATTGTAGGTGATACAAAACTTCACCTAACTTTGAATTGGAAGCTGTATTGACATGAGTGTTTGGCTCAGCTAGTAAGCCACTGAGAACCACAGTCTGCAAGTTCCAGTTCATGACTTGTGAACATGGTTAGACTGCTTCCAGGAGCTTGACTGTTAAGGTGGCATTGCACTGCATGAACATGCTGGACTGGAGTCTTCATTGCAGTCCATGTTTGTGTCATAGGGCTGCTCTGACACTGGCAGGCTGTATTGTGCAAGAGAGGAACATTACTGTGGAAGAGAAGTTTTACTGACACGTAAAGTCATGTTCTGCATGTAATGTAGAAATGGCTACTGATTGATAAATTCCCAGAAGGGTTGTTTGGAAGATCATTGGAGTCATGAGTAAATAATACATAATTTAAGAGTATGATAAACATTTAAGTGCTCCTCCCCCAGTTTGTTCCTGCAGATCACTTAAGCAATGTATTTCTTTGTCAGAGCTGTTTCTTTAGAATCTTAGTAAGTGACAGCTAAGGAAGGCTAAAGCGTTGTAACCATGAAACAATGAACAATTTTCTCTGGAACAGATTTAACAGAAGCATCAACTTTACTGTAATGTCAATTCCATACTCTTTAGTCATGTTTAGATTAGTTGAATATTTATGTGTGACTAGTTAAATAACCCAAAAGGAGGAAAGTACAGCCTCTGCTTTTGCAAAAAGCTCCTGTTACCAAAATTGAAGTTGCAAATTCAGTAGGGCTGCAGGTGGGTAGCTACTCACTTCACTTGAATCAATAGTCTTGACTTTCTTTAAAACCATAGCAGCAAGTAGTGCAATTTTAGTTATGTTATAGGGTATAATTTAAATAAGGCTTAAGAAGTATTCTTCCCCATTTGATTTCACTATCATTCATTTTAAAAAGAAAATAATAAAATAAGAAATTTAAAAGTACCTGGTAATTTGGGGAATTAAATGTATTCTTGATGTTTGATGGCTCAGGTGAAGTAATTCTTACTTCTTTGGTTTCTCTGAAATTCTTACTGTCATGGTTTAATACTTCTTGAAACCCATGTTTTTAGGTTTTATCTTTTATTGACACAAGAGTAAACAGCAGCGACTGTATAGCTTAAGGTGTGGAATAGGGCATTCTGACCCTACTTGGAACTGGTTGTCAGGCCATTGTAGGGGAGACGGCGCAACTGATGAGTTGTTCATGTAGCTGTTTCTTGTGCATATGCATGCTATTAAAGTCAGAGTTAGTACAAATAAATTGTTTTTACTGGATACTTAGTTGGCTTTAAGGCCTAATAAAACCAAATCATTAACTGTAAACTGAAGAGAAATGCTTAGGTTTATGACATGAAAAATACTCTTTTGCAAACCAGCTAAGTCTTCAGCATCAGAAGTTCTGGTAGACAGAGTGTGAGAGCAGTGAGTTCACAGTTTTCAGTAAGTAGGAGAGACAAAATTTAATATTCTGACCATACCAAAGCAGACACCCTAATAAATTATTTTTTAAAGTTGCACATCCCCCAAACTACCACAGCTTTATATACTTTTGTATCTGATTTGTGTTGTATTATCTAACCAATAATTCAAAATTTCACAGCAAATTCCTTGGAATTTGTTGTTCTTGTTGTTTTTTGCTAATTTATACTTTTTCCTTTTCTTGTGGGATTGTCTTTTGGGTTCTCTGTTGACACCTAGTGTTACTTTACATAGTTGTTTATTTAGCCAGGTGCAGGCTTTTTCATTACTGGATTTTACCTAGTGTGGTGTGCAAGTTTGTGATCATTTTTGCAGTTCTGTTCAAAATGAATTAAATAGTGTTCTATGTGTTCTCCAGTTTTGTTGAAAAACACTTTATATCTTCATAAGTTCAGTGCCTTAAAAAATGACAGTGTTGAATATAAGAGGGTCTTTGATATTGAATCACAACATGTATGACACGTTGAGTCATTTGGAATTGGTATGGAATATCCTGCTTTATATTTTAGCATGTAATCACAAAGTTCAACTTCTCTGATACTGCAAATCAGGAATTAGGACTTTACTTACTTCTTTTTATACTAAAAGTTTACTGTGAGGAACAGGCAATAAAATAAAAATCAACTTGTGTTACTGTAATGTGCCTATTATAATTTGTCTTTTGGACAAACAAGCATGAAGTAGTAATTTTCTTTTTAGAAAAAAAATCTTGTGTTGAGGCATTGTAAGAAATGTGTCAATGTTAATTGGAAAACAAACAAACCAACCCACAACCCAGCCCTGATTTAATCCATTGATTTATTTAACTTTGGAAAAGTATATTGATACCTACATTTTCAGTCATCTTATTTACTTTAGTTTATGTGTACAACAGAAATTATAATAATTAGTGACATAAAGATGAGGTGATTTTGCTGCTGTAGCAGCAGAAAAATGGAGGACTATTGAGTGGGAAAATCTTTGATTTAATTTTGCAATTATTTTTCTGACTTTACATACAGAAGGTTGAACTTATAAGTACAGTGATGATCTGCAACTCATACTTTTGTCAGGGGTGAATTTCACTGGCTGAGAACACTGGCATTGTGGCAAGGAAAGTTCTTGAATTATTGTGGTTTTTTTCTAAATTATAGGTGTTTGATTAATTATTGATGAATGGTTGCTACGTACTTGCTAAATTATTAAATTGCTTTCATGTCCCACTGTTTCCTGTATACCAGGAGCCCTAGCTTTTTGCATTAAAGAATTTGTTGGCAACTTGCCACATCTCAGGGGCTGCTCACACTTAGAATTTATTAGTACAATGGTAAATGCATATTATGGTTATATTGTCTGTCCTTCTCTCTCTGATAATAATAAGAAAATGTTTAGTCATTTGGATGCTTACCGTAGAACTTGATGAGTACTTCTTCATGTAAAGAGGGTTTCTATACGTATAGAGAATTTACTAAGTGTTAAAATTTCTGTCTGGGAACAAAGTCTTCACTTGAAATAGGAAGCACTTGAATCCATATCTTTTATCTTTGATTACTCAACTTGAATGAGAGTGTCATCTTTAATCCTTGTGTTTCATTCCCAAGGTAGGAAGAGACTGTTCTTCGGGTAATGTTTGAGTGGATCAGTTATATAGCCTGTGTCTCCTCTGTATTTGAGTTAAGATTAATTTTGTGTAGTCTAGAAGATGTTTTCATCATATATTTCTTTTGGATTTTAAATTGGACTTGCATTTCTACTTAAGTGTCTTTTGTAAATTTGCTGTTTTCTGGCCCTTCTGAACTAGACGGCAGATGTAGCAATCCTAAAATTCAGATGAGAGTCTAAGCTGTGATATTGTCTTGAATGTAAGATTCCACTTGCAAAACAAAATAATTGGTCTTCAAAAAAATATTAACATTCTAAATGACTAAAAGTTCTCTTGTTATTGATGACATTTTAAAAATATTGCTGACTTTGTTAAATGAACATTAAGAATCTGTTCTATGAACTGCTGAATAACCTCAGTTCCTGTTGGCATTAGTGGGAACTGAAAATCCTTTAGCACCTTTTATAATTGGTGTTGAGAATGATCTTGAAGGTAGTGACATTGAAAATTAGGATTTCCCACAACAAAGACAGGAAATAATCTTGCGTCTTTTCAGTATTTAATGTTAATTGCTAATAATTATTCTAGGCACTGATGTTTATGAGCAGAGCTGTCAAGTTTGAAAGTGACCTGTAAACAGTCACTCCTTTTATTCCTTGTGGAAAGGTTACAGTTAGAAATATCTTTTCTGGTTTTCTGTAATTTTTATAATAGTTTTGTTTAGGGTTTCTTGCAGTGGAAGCTACAACAAGAGGAAGAATAAAAGGTTTTGACTGTTTTGTAGATTGTCCGTTCTCGTTGCATCAACATTAATTATTCTTGATATATTTGTCCTGTAGATACTTTGTTGCCATTCTTGACAGATGGAGTCCTCTTTTATGTCAGGAGTGTAATTTTTTAATGAGCACTTTGATTAAAGGTTTTCTTCTGCTTCTTTTCTTTAAAAGAAAATGTGAAAGGGAAAATTAAAATTCCTTCTTGTAACAAGACATTGAAAAATGATTTAACACATGTTCCAAAAGAGATTTAGATTTTATAATGCCAGACAACTGAACAGTCGCATAGAGCATTACCAAGGTATTGTTTTCTCAGAGCATTTATACTTTTCTCCATAATAAAAGCTGAAGAGGATTCAGGCCTTTTGTTTAACTAACAGACTTTTAAATTTAAAATATGGTGTTCGATTTTATTAAAACATTCAAGTTCCATGTAGTTCATGCTTTCACACTTAATTTTGAACTATTTTTAGCAAGGATGATGGCTGAAGTTGTAAACATTCTTTGAAGTTTTAAAATAAAAAACTTTGAAAGAGAACCGTAAAGTAACACAAACTATACATTCAGCTTCAACAATAAAGATACTGTATCATTTGAAGGTGTCAAATAGACTTGCTGCACAGATACTCTGTTAACATGTATAAATAACCCAGTCTCATTCTTGCCTAAAAATAGACAAACAGATTTGGAACTATTTTCTAGTCCTCAGACAGAATTATTCTAACCATTTCCTACATGTTGTGGAGAACTACATTGCTACTTTGACTCCAGAAGCATCATGGGTGGGCATCTGTTCCTCTAAGGAAAAGCATAAGGGGGTTAAATAAATATCTCCAATAGTAACATTGGTGTTTGCAGTGGAGTGGGGACTGCAGTTCAGCTTCTCGAGAACTTCTTGAAGAATGTTAATGATTGCTTAATGTGAAAAAATCTGGACAGGACTTGCCTTCAAGCAGCTATTGCTGGAATACTTTAAAAGGTGATATAATCTGCTGATGAGGAATTTAATTTCTCCTGCAGAAAAAGGGAGGATGTCCACATGCTCAGGCATGGTACAGGTGCTTGATTACTACCTATCGGTACGGTACATTAATACAGAATTACAGTGAACTATTCAGCAGTTGTGCACTCCTTACTCCAGCAAAAGAGCTTTGGTTCCTGCTCCACAGCTACTCATTTATAAAGCAGGGATTAATTAAAATTGTCATATGTCTTATTTTGAATGTATTGGTTTATATAGTTATGTGTTTTAGTGGGATATCCAGAGCTTCAGGAATATTCATAAATGTATATGTTGATTTAGAAAGTATGTTCAGTATGATTTATTAAAGGAAACGGCGTGTTGTTACCTCTTTAGATTTTGCTTTGGCTTTTTGCTTTTGACTTCTGTTTGTTAGAATTTTTTGAAAGAATGGATATTTACCAAAATGTAGAATACTATTGTTGAATCTATTGCCAAAAGTTGTGTTCACTGTATACTTCTGTGTGAAGTGCTACTTCTTGTGTCGATTTACAGTACAAGTTTCGCACAGAAGGTGAACTATCTGTGCTAAAAATATAGATAAATATGGGAGTCTGAACAACCTTTCATCATGACTGAGGAAGAAGGACTAGGAATTAATTTGTTTATCTGAGTGTTACAGTGCCAGTTCTACTTAAGATATAACACATTGGTAATTTTTAGATCACTGTAGTGCACATACGAAGAAATCGAGAACCCTTTGTATGATATTTCAGCCTTCTAATGGGTAGTCTTTAAGAAAATGCACACTGAAATTTTCAGCAAAATATATTTAATAGACTGCTTTAATGTAATACGTATTTTAATTTCCCTTTTGCGTTAGCTTTCTGAGAAATATGGAGTCCATGTCTGTGGAGAAGGTGGAGAATATGAAACATTCACTCTGGACTGCCCTCTATTTAAGAAGAAAATTGTTATGTAAGGAACAGTTTCTTCATTTCCTTGTATTAAAGCAATGGGAACGTATTCACATTTAGCTTGAGACAACTTTTGTTGGCAGAGGTAGAACATGTCCTCTAAGTTCACAAACACTCACTTTGTTTAACACTGGCAAAGTCCTCTGAAAACCTAAATCAATACCTGACAAGACGAGGCCTTCATAGAGGGCTATAAACTTTTTAGACATTTGCGCTTTCGTTTACTTGCTGATTATGGCCTGCAGTAAAACTGGTACCTACACACTGACACTTTTATCCTTTCATGAAGTGCGAATTGCCTGTAATATTTATCTTTCATTACAGCTACATTTGATAAACTGCCACATCAGTAGCCTGTGGGTTCCATTAACTCTGTGTGTGTGTGTTTTAAGTTTAGCAGCTTAGAATGATAATGATATTTTCTTTAATTATTAGAGGGTATTTTACCTACAAACTTTGCATTAATCCATCTAATTTACACTGAGTAGTTTATTCCTTTGACATAAATTGCTAAAATCTGTGTAGCGGTATATGGAAAATAATTGTGTCTTGATGCAAGTTTCTTTATTAGTCTGTTAAATAGCTAAGCCTGCTTGCTTTGAGTGAGATGTTTTGACTGCTGTTCCTTTTCTTCGCCAAGTAAGCAGACTAGTGATCATGTATTGTTGATACTCGGTCATCTTAGGAGGGAAGGTCAAGATGATGGAGCGTATAGACATGATTAAGGCTTTCCTAGTGAGGGTCTGTTTGTTTCATTTTTTTGTAAGATTTGGATCAGTTATATAAGGAACAGAACCAAGAGCTGTTAACTGTTTCATTGCATGGCATTTGGGAGAAGAGCAAAAGACAAACTGGTAAAAGGGATGGCAGCTACTCTCGCAGATGTCTGCTGACCTGTTGGTTGACTGGAAGATGTGTCCTCTGGTGTGAACTGAAAAACTACATAATTTGAATCTGGAGATAATTCCATGCAGGAAAGCTATGGAATTCTTTAGTGAGAAGATTCAGAAACTAACAGTGTAGAATCTTTAAACTGGATTTAAGTTAATGTGTGGGCCAGGAAGTGAGACTCCTGGAGAAGATTCTCTGAGTGGAACCAGGTGCTAGGTAGAAGCCATAGGTTGTGAGCCAACCTGCTGGCTAGTAGGAGTTGGAAAGTTAAGCAGGGAGTTAGAATTAAATGTGTATGATGTTTGGTAACATTTTATCACAAATAAATTTGGGGACAAAGGACAAAACTCCGCAGTCTGCCCTCAGATAGAATCAGTTCAGTCTCTTCTAGCAGAAAGAAAAATACCATGAAGAAATTGCTAGAGCACAATTCATTTTTGCTTTTAAATCTGATATGATTTCTATTAAACTGACAAATTCTTATCAATTCCAGTAGGTGTCAGAGGCAGAATTTTGTCAAACTTTGTCATTTAGAGTAATACTACCCGTTACCAGACAAATGTGGCCTATGCAGCATTTATATTACAGCACTTGCAACAAAAAATATACTTCAGAGGGATAGCTGGATTTTAACTGAGAGATTGCATATGCTTCTATCAGTGTTTGCACTTAAATGTGTCTGATTGATTGCTTACATTCTTTTTACTTTGAGGCTTCTTATGTTACAGATTAAATCTGGGACTTCATTGCAATTGGATGCATAATTGCCCAGTGCTCCTTTTCAAAGCTTTCTTTGCATTGATACAGCAGATTGGAGAAAATAATGTCAAATCTCATGAGAAATTCTTGGTTGGTGTAGTGTGCAGAGTTTTTTTGGGTGGTGTGCTGTGCTTTGTTTTTTGTTTGTTTGGTTGTTGTTGTTTTTTGGGGTTTTTTGTTTTTCTTGTGTAAAATTTGAGGAACACTTTTAGGAAAGTACATTGTACCCTTGACTTGGGATCAACCAAATACCGGTTTAAGTAGGAATATCTTATAATATATTCTAAATATATTTCTGGCTATTAGTGGTTTAATGACCATTCAAGCAACTAGGAAAAGCTAAAGCAGAGGTGGTCTGGCCAAGTTGTCTTTATTTCTGTTGGCGACACTCCAAATAATAGTAAAAGTTAACAATAAATGCACAAAAAATGCATATAAATCAGTGGGTATTTAATAATAAATATATGGCACAGCAGACTGTTAAGCAGTTACTCAACTAGTTCTAAATATATATTTCCATAATGGAAACTGAATAGCTACACTAGCTTTGTGTATCTATGGTTTGATGAGCCCTGCTTAGCTCTTACATTATTAATGTTGTAAAGACATGCCTTTTGACAGGCCCTTCGTGTGAAATCTATTGCTTTATGAACTTCTAAAGAAAAAGATTAATTTTATTGTGCTTTTCGTTCTTGCTTTTCATATACACTGAAACTAAACATATTTGTAATCATGTTGTTAACTATACTAGTATAGTTTCCAAATGTTTACGTAGGATTGTTTCTGGTATACATCCCGATACAATTTTTGAAGCTTAAATGGAGTTGTAAGAATTACAATTCAGAGGTTAAAACCTGTCAGGATTTTCAGGGCCCCTAAATTCCTGAACTCCTTCAAGATGTCTTCCTGGAGAAAGTTTCTGAGGAAGATGATGAAGATTATTTTTTCCCTCCAAAACACATGTGATAGGTTAAGCTTAGCTGGCTGATTTGTAATGTCCATCGTGAAACAATCTATTTGTTAGCACAGAGATTCACTGAGTACTAATGTAACAGCAAGACATCACAGAGATTGCACCTCTTGGTCCTACCCCCTGACTAAGTGTGCACAGGCATGGTGACACAAATTATACTGTCACAACACTGCCCTGGGTTTTGGTTTTACATAACCTGGATTTTAACTTCAATATGGTATAACAATCAATCACTAGGCAAAAAATATGTTAATCGGAAAACTTCCAGCTTGCCAGTATGACAGCCACTTTGTTTCATGTGAAGGCAAGTGAAAGCAAGGTCTTACAGGCAAAATATTCAAGCAGGAGTCAGATGGGTTTTTATCTCTGCTTCCTCGGTAGACTACTGTAATCCAGTTGTCAGTTTCCTTATGCTCAATATTTGAGAGGTACCAAACATTTTCTGTCCTTCTTACACTGGTATTTAAAGTGCAATTGGTTGACACCTCTAAAAGCTATAAAGACATATTTCTTATCTATGTGAATGACATCTATAAGAAAGGTCCATTTGTATTTTTGGAACACAGAATAGTTTGATTTTTTTCTTGGGTAAATTGGCATATTTTAAGTATTTGGGAAGTTTAATTCTGCACCTCTACACCTTATGGTTAACTCTGTGTTTAGATTTGGAGTTAAAAGTAAATCTGTAAACATGAAAAAATAATCATGTACTGAGAGCACTGATGATACTTTCAGACTTGCTCTAACTTGTCATATTTGTCCTCTGAAAATGTTACTATTTTAATATTATTAGATGTTTCCCAGATCTTCAAGGAGACTTGAGAGATCAGATTATTATGATTTAAAAAAAAAATAGATAATTAGGAAAGTTTTTCCGAAGTCTTCTGAAAATTATCTTCAGCAAAATTCCTGTGTTTCTGTCATAATCAAATATGAATTACCTTACATAGTCATGTTCCTACTCAAAATTCAGACTTTCAGAATTGTGTAATTATCAAGGTCTTTTAAATCACTGTTTTTCATTTTAATATCTGCTTTTCATGTGGTTTAGGGGTTTGTTATTTTTTTACTGTTTCCTAAACTGGACATGACATGTAAGTTCTGGACTTTTATTTTTTTTTTTAATTGGTGACTCGTAATTGGGCACAAACAAAACTGTTCTGCTTTCTACCTATTCATTGCATTTACTATTGAACAAGACTGTAAATTATATCAGTTACAACAATGATGTATGTTTGGAGAGACTGACAGAAAATGAAGTTGTTGGGAAAAATATATTATTTTTCTGTATTGTAATACTATTTTCAGTGCCACATAATCTACCTATTGTGACCCATCAGCTGAGAAATATTGGCATATTAAACTAGATATCATGGTCCCATCAAATACCCATGTGTTAAGCTGTATGTCATAGGAGTGTACTTCATACCAAAAAGAAATATTTATGATTTCTTAATATACTTTTTTGAGCAACAACTAAGTACTTAAAAATTCTAAAGTTATTGAACAGTTAGTGTAGGTATCAATGCTTAGCATATGTTCTGCTGTACTAGTGAATTGGAATGTGCAATACAAGTAGGGCTGCTTCTTTTAAGTTAAATATGTTTTTTTAAAGTTACTAGGTATTCTTTAAATTCAATAGAGACCAGCATTTAATAACCCTAAATTTTTGTTTTTCCTTTCTGATATAAATGTTTTTGTTAATTTAAAGTAGTTAATACATCATTTCAAAGTACTAGACTTCCCTGTGTAGAACTTGAATGGCAAGCAAGCAATGTTTATTGAAAATATCTTAAGACACTCAGGATACCCAGGTACCTGGTGCTACTGGAGTCTTGGTGTCTGTTTTTTATTATTTCTAATGAGGTATGCTATTACTCAAGATTTCCAAAGTTATTTTCTACCTGTTCCTGTTAGAAGACAACATGATTGTTTGAAAAGAATGACTTTAATCTTCAGGGACTGTCTGAAAGATATCTTAAAGGAATAAGTGATATTTTAATCATAAAGAATCTTGATAATAACTCTCAAGAATGAAGCGAAAGGCTTATTTGTCAAATTGTTTAAAAGTTTACTAACAGGGACATGGAGCTGCTTATGCTGAATGTATTTATCATTATTGTGCATTGTAGTGATTATGGTTATCTTAGGAGTTTTGTTATTTTAAATCCCAAAACACATTTTTGGGATACAGATATTTCGTGTTAATTTTACACTTTCATTAAGTCAGTGGAATCTGGCCAAGGCTTCAACTCTTTCCAGTTTGTATGCTTTTTATGTGACATTACTAGAAACCGATCTCATCTCATGGAATACTGTGAAGGTGTCAAGGGCACTGTGATTTCAAGAAAATCATTTGTGTGTCCTTAGCCTTACTTATAACAAATTTCAGATTTACTTGTACTGTGTCAGAGTTTCTCTTATGTTTTCTTTGAGTTTCTCACCTTCTGATGTTTGTTTCCTAGAGCTACCTTTTTCTTAAGTAGTAAAACCATACAGATGGATATAACAGATACTGCCTCTTGTGAATCAAAGTGTGACAGATTGTGTCTGTAAAAATGAAAATGAGAATTGACTAATTTGAGTCAGCATACAGGAAGTTTATCATTGTTACCAACACATTTGGCATTAAAAAGTTGTGTCTAGTAATCTTCAATATCAGATGCAAGATGGTTGAATCAGTCAGTTTCTCAGCGTGAAATATTGTATGTTGTTAGTACCTCAAGAATTAATCCTGGAGCATTAATCAAGAAGAATGGACTTTTAAGAAATCTCCTGTTGATGAAATTAAAAGTTAGCTTTACATTTAAGTTTCTAGAATGGAAAACATAATGGCATTTTTGCTTTCATAGACTACACCTGAGTCTCTCAGTACTGGTCTGGAAGTATAGTTTATTCCATTTGAAAATTTAAAATTAGTGAAGATAATGTTTGTTCAACAATACGATTTCGTATAGCAAACTATTTTTTTCTTAATTGGTATAAATAAGAAATTAATAGATTTTTCCATGAGTTACCTTGGAGTCTGTGTTATGTATCAACTAAGTATTGTCTATACGTAAAGTGATATACTAATATTTGTCGCTAATAATTTTGTGTTTCAGAGATTCAGCCAAGGTGGTTGTGCATTCAGCTGATGCATTTGCACCTGTGGCCTACCTTCGTTTTTTAAAATTACACCTGGAGAATAAGGCAAGTAGATGCAAATTTCATCCTTTAAAGCTATGTGCATGCTTTCTATTTTTATGTTGCTTTGTCACAGTTTGGAATGAAGCTACATGTTCTCATGTGCGTGTACTTTCAAATAACAATGTACATATTTAGTTGAATTTCAGAACTTGACATAAGGCAAAACTTAACACAAGTGCTACCTTGTGTCAGATGAATGAATGGAGGTAGTATATGTGTGTAGCATTTTTCATCTTGAAACCTGAAGGTGCTCAGCCAACGTGGTTCAGTAAAGCACACGTGTAACCTGTGCAGTACAGCTATCCGCACTGTGGAATGCAGCTGTATGTGGAACCTGTATGAACAGTGTTGATTTGCTGGGAGGTGGCATCTCTTTTTGCCGTTTCTGGTTTAAAGTGGATGATTTAAAAACTTGCTGATCCAGAAGTGCTCAAGTTTTAAACATACTGGTTTTTGTTTTATCTTTTCCATATGGAAGATACATCTGATGAATGATTTCAAATCATGTAGAGGAGATCATCCTGGTCAAAGATCTTAAGGGAATCACTAGTAGTTCACTGGGATTCATTGTCTTAGCTTATGATTCCATGGAAACAGCTGAACAGGAATAGGAACTCTAGTGGTTTAAATATTGCAGGCTTCTGTGTGAGCAGAGCTAAAAGGGTCAAAACAGAAGGTGTTTTTTTTCTTAGCATTGGTCAACACTTTTCTATTTTTATTTTCATTATTTTGTGGGAAGAATTTTTTTTTCTTCCTGTAAGTGCTAGTATTTTGTTGAAGAGAGTGCCTCGTGATCTTCTTACTACTGTTGCAGTCATATTTTTATAGGTCTTCTTCCTACTTTGTGCACTTTGAAGATCACTGAACCTCTTCTAGGTGCAGGGATTGTTATAGAACATTATTATATTAGTATGTTACATTTCATTTCTCTTGAGCAGCTACACTTCCTGAATTTCTTTCAATAGATCATGACTCTTTTTCCCCCCTTCTTTTTTTATTTTATTGTCCCAAACAGCTAAAATACCTGTACATTTTTCTTCCATGATGGCCTCATTCTTGCCTTGGAAAGTAAATTGTATTTCATCCTGTCGATTTCTAGTTTGAGATTTCTTTCAAAAATGAAACATTAAATATTTGTGTGGGAGACCCTGAAAAGTGTATCAACTAATTATGTGAAGCAAAACCAAATAGGCTGAATAAAGGAAAATTTGGGAGCAGGGCATGGTGGGGAAGAGTGATAATATATTAATAATTCTTTGGAGGAACTGGCTTTATTGCTCATGGCAAACTTGATGCTAACATGCACTATACATCACTACAATGTGACAGGCTAGGGAAAATGAAAAACACAAAGCTTTACATAAATCAGGCAAAAAATCGTATTAAAGTGCATAACATTTTATATAAGAATCAAGATTTTACTTTTATCTCTTCAGAAGCTCTTTTCCCCTTCTTATATAGATGGTTTAGATTTGGTTAAAGCCTCCCAGTTTCAAGCAGTGTTGTAGTAAATCATATTTCAAACTCATTGTAGATAAATCTGTCACACTCTCAGAGGGTTAAGGTTTACAGAGACCTGCCCTGGATTTTAGTATGTAAACTAATGTCTTGTATAGTTAAAAGGAAAATAGTCTATTTTCTGCAATGGTTATATCATAAGGAAAAACATTAGAATCTTTTGACTATAGATTATTTTATGTCATGATAAAGTAGGCTAGGTTTTCAAGAAGTTATGAAGATGGAGAACCAGACAGTTTTTCAGAGCATAACTTGTTACTAAGTTAGCATGGTTTAACGGCATAATGATAAAGAGATGCCTTCAAGATTGATATGCCTATAGTACCGTACTTTTTTCCACTATTTGGTGCTTACACACCCTACAAAAAAAAAATAAATATCAGTTAGTAACTCAGCACTTAAAAGCTAATCCTTGTGTACTAAAGAAGCATGATCCTGGAGGTTAGATTTGATTTGACTTTGTGGCCTGTTTCTGTCCAGTTCCTTCTGGCATGAATTATTTTAGTTAATTTCCATTTAGGACTTTAGCTGTAGAATTAGACTTTGATGTTACAGGGAACTGGAAGGAATTTCAAATTGCAGAATAATGTTTTGTTGGTGACATTATGGATGGCATCTTTTTTACTACTTTGACATCACTGAATGATACTTCTCCTAGGTAACTTTTCATTTCCCTTCCCCATCATAGGAATATAGATAACCCTTGTAGGCATGTTTTCGAAACTTTTTAACAACTACATTTTTTTTGGTTCACTAATCTGTTGCAAACACTAAGATAATAAAGAAAATATTTTCTTCCTATTCCATTTGATTGCAGATTCCATCCAGTTCTCTGAGAAAAGAGAATTTTTGATTCTCTTTTCATAATAAAGAGACTTAATTTCAAAATCTTTCAGAGTTATTGTGCTTGAAATACTTCAAGGAGATGTATGTGGTCTTTCATTATATTTATATCAAGGAGTTCTGATATCAAGGTACACCACAAAGAATAAAGATGTTATCATCGTCTTCCCTTATGTCTTCTGAGCTCTCTGCCTCGCTGTATTCTTGTTGCTGCTCAGTGGGACAACTATCAGTTTTGGCATTGTGTTGTGATAGGCTTTGATACCAGTTTCTGCAGTGGAGAATGTAAGCTTTGTAACAAGGCAATCTGTTGTTTTCATAAAAGACCACTGCATGGAATTTCAGCTGTAGCAGTCAGTCCTAGCTCCAAGGTTTTTTCAACAGGAGAATTTGGATCTTGGAACGCTTATGTGTTTGCGTAACTTCATTCTGAGTGCACTTACATCAATGACATGAGTTATGTGAATATAGTTAAGCATATGCATGCATGCAGGCTCTGATCCAAAATTAGGTTGGTATCACAATGAACAGTGGGTGTGGGAGAAACAGTATAACAAATGGGAAAATATATTGCTTCTGTGAAGTAACATGAAAATGTTATGTGATAAAATAGGTTCTGTAAGATTTAATTAAAATGTTATAGCAAGCTTGATTTTTTGGTTTTAAAGTGATGAGAATATTATTCAGGAAAAGTTAGTCGTTTGTGGAAGTCTATTACTTTAAGTTTTAAATTCTTAGATTACTTTCTCTGTCGATAGGCATGGAAAACCAACATTTGTGTGAGATTTGAATATAGCTACTAAAGAGAGTCTGGCAGCTCTACTTAGTCTGGCATTGAGCCGGTTCTTGTAGTGCCAGGTTCCACACCTAATACTTCTAGTGTAGCCTGCACCAGTGGTGCTACGGAAAGTGATTGGTAGACTATGTTTTTTGGAGCATTGTGGGAGTCAGCTTTGAATGAATCATTGTGATATATCATAGGCATTGAAATCAACAGTAGTCTGTAGTTATTTTTATGGTCTTTGGTGTGTGTAAGAGAATGTAGAATTTCTAGTCCTAGTAATTTCCAAAAATTTTGCAACTGACCATGTATGTGTGTAAACACGGATCTATAGTTTTATTTATATCTGTGGAGTAATATTGATGCTAGCTTAACAATTTATAAAATATTGAAATATTTGGGGAAAAGGAATGTGACTGTGGATGATAGAAAAACTTAATGTGGCATCACTTTGGGATATTTGTAATATTAACAAATTACAAAGCTGCAGGGGAGTTCTGTAAGTTACACCAAACCATTTGTGATACAGTCTGTGAGTCTCACTACATCTCCATGAATTTTTTATGAAGCACATTTTGCAGAAAACATGTTTAGAAACATAGTTGAAAGAACAATTTTCACAGATGGCTTAAAAATGGAAAAGGTGCTCTTTTCGTGTTCACTTGCAGAGTGTATAAATTCAGTCCTTCAGGTCAGGGAAGGGAGAGAAGCTACAGGTCTCTAATAGTACCTACATAAGATATCTGTAGCTTTAAATCTCTTAAAAGGTAACTATGTAAAGCTTCACAAAAGCGAGAAAAAAAGTGGCTGTCATACTGGCAAGCTGGAACTTTTCTGATTAACATATTTTTTTTGCCTAGTGATGGATTGTTATATCATATTGAAGTTAAAATCCAGGTTATGTAAAACCAAAACCCAGGGCAGTGTTGTGACAGTATAATTTGTGTCACCATGCCTGTGCACACTTAGTCAGGGGGTAGGACCAAGAGGTGCAATCTCTGTGATGTCTTGCTGTTACATTAGTACTCAGTGAATGCCCGTGCTACATACAAATCGATTGTTTCATGATGGACATTAAAAATTAGCCAGTGAAAGCAAGTAATTTAGTAAACCAACAATTTGCAGGAAGGCAATGGTAGCACTTCTAGCACTCTCTGCCTCTATACACTCTTTATATTTCTATAAAGCCACGTCTTGTGGATAAAAAGTTAGCAAGTTTGAAAAAAAATAGAAAAAAAGGAATTTTCTTGGTTCTTGTAGCATAATACAGCTTAAGGTCTATTTCAGTTACAGATTTGTGTTCCTGCTTCTTTATTTTCTAAGTCATACCTGAAGGGTTAGGGGCTATCAGGCAGCCCTCTGCATAACGGCAAAATATGTCAACTGACAGCTGTAGCTGAAGGTGTGTGTAATTCAATGACTGGGAAATGGTATAGATACTGTTGCTTTAAAAGGTGCACTGGGTAGTTTTCTCCTCCTAGACTACGAAAGTGTTTGGGAAGAAGAGAAGGTACAGTGAATTATTTTACTTCTCAAGAAATTACTTTGATGTATAAATCTTGGAAAATTGTCTTTTCTGTTTCTCAAAACTCTGAGCATCTCAAAGTGTGGTGAGTTTGATGGAAGGGATAGTTCCATCTAGAAAAAGGATTTTTTCTTTTTACATGGACTGCATTCATTCAAGGCTCCACAAAGTTTTAAAGCTTTCTTGTTAGATTTTTGCTTGTTTCAAGTGTTCAGTGACAAGTGTTAATGATTACATTTTTGCTTTTGTACTTTTGTTCCCTTTTTCACTTAATTTATACTATTTTTGGAAAACATAGTTGTCCTGTATATAATTGTGGAATAGCACTTCATCATAGTATTCTTTCTCTCTCTTGAATCTCATGGTTTTCTGTATCTGTTTTTCTTGTTTAGTACCAAGTCTGCATTTTTATTCTATATGATATGTCAACAGCAGCACATTGTATTCTGCCAGTTTCTGCAATGTGAATAGTGGGAAATGCTAATGCTGTTGTTCCATGAATTGTTCTAAGCTTAAGTACCCAGTTAGCTATAGTATATTTTGTAATTGAAACCCAAAATTTGGATCATAATATGTGGTGATTTCATACTACCTGACATGCTTGTTTACTTGCTTATTTTATAATGTCTGTCTCAAGCAGGGGGAATCTCCAGGTGCGTCTGTGGTCAGTAGCTGTTCTTGTGAGGTAAGCTGCGATGATGACTGTATTTTCCCTTCATCAGAAGAGGATGAACCACAGAAGAACATTCCGGTCATCTGGAAGTCTTTGAAAAATAATTCTTTGGATTTCAGTGAGTCTTGCACAACTTTCATTAGAAAAATAAAGTTGAATATTTCATGCTGTGGTGGTGTATGCTGTTAATTACTGTAAGAACACTCCTGAAAAGAATGTCTGTGACCTTTAATAACCAGTCTGAAAAAAGAGATCCTATTGCAATGTGATATTCTGATAGGAATCAGTAAATCTGCAGTAATGAAACATTTCAAGCTGTTTTACAGAAGGAGCATAACCCTTTTTTTTCTTGTCCATCCCTCTCCTCCATCCCTCTCCTCCTTTCGACACACATTAATGTGTTTTGTTTTCCTGAATGACATTACTATAGTATAATTATTAATTTGAATGCAGGGATTGAGTTCTATTTCAAAGGTCTAACTGCACCATGCACTACTATTTTTAAATTAATTAAATTAAGACAGAAAAGCAGACTCTAAAATGAAGCGTAAAACACAACTGTTGAACTTGCTTACATAGTATATGAGTCTGTCCCAATTCAAGCAACCTCAGGGTGAGATGCATGATCACGTTTAGCAGCCTAGCAAGTTACTGAGCTGCAGTAACTAATCACATGTCTGATACTAGCATTGCCTCAAACATGAGATGATTAGTGCAAGATAAACCTGAGTTCATAGATTGGTACCTCATTGAAGTTCCACAGCATCGCTGTTACCCTACACCCAAAGATTAGTAAAGTTTTCCAAAAAACTAAGTTTCATAGTGTAACGGTGTTTGATATTGAATGGTATTTAGGCTCTTGAATATGGATAAGTGCCTGGTGGGATGTTAAAAAAATGTCTAAACATGTTATGCATTTCCTAAGATAATCAGAAACAGGTTAAAGACCTAACTTCCCTTAAAATTTGGCATATAAGTTTGAAATAAAATTTTCAGTGTCACGACTTGTGCCAAGTCCATATCAAAACCAGAGAAATTGTAAAAGGTCAGCAAAAATGGAGAGGAGGAGAAATCAAGTGCTGAAATTCTCAGATAAATACTACTTGCAGGCATATTGTCTGAAGGCAGTGTTGCAGAAGGATTTTTCAGGTGTTTAGAAACTTTGTTACCAGTACACTTACCTTTCATTTTTTAGTTTATATCTGTCTGTAAATATATTTTGAAGATCTTTTTACCATTTGTGATTTTTTTTTCCTGTAGAAGTCCTTGTTACTTAAGCAATTTAAAACATATTCTAGGTTAACTTTCCTTATTATAATCATAGTGCTGTTCTTCATTTCCCATAGCTAAGATGTTTGGAAATTCAGGAAAATCCGTGAGTGGTTACCAGTGGTTTTCAGGTATCACTGCCCATCTCCTTCCATCAACAAGCAAAAATGCTCAAGAGGCATCAAGGGAAGCATTTACTTCTCTCCGAGGTGCTTTATTCAGTTAATGCATTATCTGTCGTTAACAGTACTGTTTTTAATCTGGTATTAAGTAAGAATCTGTTTTGTCATATGGTTTTATACCTTTAAATGTTGTGGTTGTCAGTTTGCCATCTCATTTTGCATTTGATTGGAATCATTGATATCAAGACTGCCAGCTTTAATATTGAACACATCATAAATTGACTGGCTTTTGAAGACCCTAGAAAGCCAGAGTAGCATTCATACCACTGTAACAACACTATTTCCACAGTACTTACTCACTTTATAACTTGCTTTATAGCTTTCTTGCAATATATACTGTGTGTGAGAGTATGCATGTGTGCTAAGGATGCTGTCTACTTGCTTAGACACTTTTGCAGCTACCATAATTTTAAATTAAGTTTTCTAGAAAGCTGTTGCACATTTTGGCATCTAGGATTAGGTCAGTAGCAGTAAATCTAATTTATATTCTTAATATAAAGCAGAAATTGGTGTCTTGGGAATCATGAAATCCAGATTCATTACTATCCCCCTCTTACAGATACTGACATGTAAAACAAAATGTTCACATTTTTGTTTTGTATTTTTTTTCGTTCTAAATTTTCAGTAAAGCATGTTATACAGGCTTCTTTTCATTCATAAAATGGAAATATTTTTTTAGTATCTAAATGTGTAGGCTCATATTCTCATTCATGAATTTGTGTGACATACTGTGATATAAAATCTTATTTTTTCAACGTGCAGCAGAGTATTCATGGTTGAATATAGGGTGATAAAGAAACCCTAGAATTTTTTTCAGAAGCAAAGAATACTTTGTAGAAGGTCATTAAACTAGTTTTTGATTGCTTGGAAATCATCAAGGTGAATGTGATCAAACTTTTATTAAAAGATGATAGTATTTAGTGTAAATCTGGGCATAATCTGTAAACTGAAGCAAAAGGGTTGTATAGGTTGTGTAGTTTTATTTTGTCCTCATTATATTTGAATGGAAACTTGCCAGTACAAACACTATATATTTTTGCTTTAGCAGCTGTCAGAAAAGATTGTGTCTCTGACTAGTACAGTAGCCTATTGCTTTCAGCAAATTACTTGCATTACCTGTATTATAGTTTAAAAAAAAATAGTATTTTTCTGATCCGTGGTAGAAAATGTCAGTTCTCACGTTTCCTTTCATTTTTCTCTTTTTGGAAGTGGGTGTGGAAGACTATGAATTATGACAGAATTATGGTTCTGTCACAGCAAAAGAAACAATTTGTTTCTGAGCACTTAACTGATCTGCAAATATGCACAAGGCTTTTTCTGAACTCATACTTACGAGCTATACAGCAGATCAGTCTTCGGTGCTTTGAGAATGGAATAAGCACAGTCCTTTTAACCTCTTTGCTGGGTTAACTGATTTAAGCACCTCTAAAGAGGGTAAGTGCTTCCAAAAGGATTCAGAAAAGAAAAATTATTACTAGATGTTATGAAACATGGTTGTTCTGTAAAGTGGGTGCAATTCTTCTGTTATGCCAAGAACAAGAGGGAATGCAGCACATTACTGTTTACATTTATTTTCTTAAACCCTTTTGTTAAACTTTTCTTTAGATGTGATTGGAAGATGACAAAGATGGCAGTGCTTTATATATAAAGCAGCTCTGGTGCAGCTGTACTATGGCAAAGCTCTATAGGCTTGAAGGGAATTACATAGATTTTTATTACATTAAAATTTAGTCTAAGATTCTACTTCCTGTAGACAGTTTGCTGTCTTTTGTGGTTCTCAGCCTCAGGGTCCTGGATAACCCATTAATTAACCTGTACTTCGGCCAGTGTTATCTTTTGGGTTAGTTCTTTTTAGGCAGTTCGCCCTAAGTAAGGATAAGTCTCACCTGATCATGTTTTATAAATTATTACGAACAATGAATGGCTTGAAATTCAACAGAGAGGCTGTATGTTTTCCCTTTACATCCTGGAGATGTGCTCTCCAGGAAACAGGAGTCCTCTCCTTGGGAAACAGCACTTGTTCTCAAGAACCCAACTGGTGGGTTGGTAACCGGTTCATCATTTATGCCTTTCTACTAGACAGAGTGCTTTATTCTGCTTACAAGCTAGGAAAAAATTATGTCCCGTCATTTCTCTTTAATTCATGCAGAGGAAAAGGGGATTGTACTTTTTGCTTACTTTAAGAAGATTTTTTTAAAATAAAGCTAGAAATTATGAACTTATTCAAATCTCTTTGCCTTCCACTTGCTCTAATACTGTTAGGTGTGCACAAATCTAATACTGTTAAGTGTGCACAAATTTGAGTTAGTTTGTTCTGTTATGCTTTTTAAATTTAGACCTGGGATGGAGGTTCAGTTTGTTTGGGTGTTTTCCCCCTCCAGTATTCCATATAAAGCTGCAGAACTTTTTACTGCAGGCCAAAACTCTTTTTTTCTTGACTAAAATGCTGGCTGGAAATTTGAAAAATGTCCTTGTTTCCTCCTTGACTGATGACGTAGCAGCTGGTATTGACATGGTGATTGCTATCAGGCAGCATTCAAATACACTTATGTTTTTGGACAGGATTATCATTGTGTGCTAGTTTCTCAGATGATATTTCTGGAGATCTGTCTTGATTTTATAGGGGTCCTATGCCAATTGCTACATCATCTCTTATATCGCTTAGCACACACTTCCTTTTCTGTCAATGAGAATTCCCCTCTTCAGATAGCCTACACTAATGGCAGTATGACTAAGTAAAGGTGAGACATTTACAGCAAAATTCAGTATTGGTGTGACCAAATTGACCTTTATGGAAGTGTGCCAACTCCTGAACTGTCTTTAAAAAAAGCACAGAAATGTTTTACACAAGAAGCATTTGTTTCTCACTAAGGCAACAGCCAACAGAGATTGTCTTTATGCTCTTGTACTTCTCCATTGGAAAAGGAATATATAGGTGTATGCAGGTACACACTGTAACGTTAAAGGACAGGATCCCCAAAGTTACACTGAGAAGAGCTTTGCGTGGCTCATTTCAGTTAGGTCACGTGGGCCTCTGTTATTACATATGTCCTATATTTGGAGAAGGTTTTGTTCTTAATTTAGTTTCTATTGGTTATGAGTTACAAAAGGTCCACAGTGCAGAGCTGATTCACATATGTTGTCATGATATTGACTATGTAAGAGTAATACATGCTCCTTAAGTGCTATGACTGGAATCTTCTACACATACACATTCTGATGATCTTCGCTTCCTGGTATCTTTTCTTTAACTGTCTGCTTGAACTTTCCTCTGCTCTCATCTTTCCTTCATTTCTTCTGTGGCTACTTTTGTTTCCTATTGTCTGTCTTACCATTTATAACTCTTTGTTTATGCAGAGATTATTGTTGCAGTGAGGGGTTTTAAAAACAGCTTAGACAAGCATCCCTCTGGAATAACATAAATATTTGATCTTTTCTTTGAAGAGGGTGATGCACTGAAGGACCTCTTATTGTCCTTTCCAGTTCTGTACTTTCGTGATTCAAAGTCCTTTATAGATTACTAGCTGTCATAGACTGAAAATAAAAAAATACGAGATAATAAGACTTACAGATACAAGGAATTCAGGGTGTAACATACCTGCATGCATTAATGCATGATAAGTTTTCTTGGGGCAAGAATTCACCACTGCTCACGGTGGATAAAATTTATTTGTATTCTGTCTGTATATTTGGAAAACTAACACGAGAAAGAGTTGAATGAAAAAAAAAAGAAAGTATTACAGGGAGAAATGTTGCAAAGCCTTCAGTCGTGTTTAGGCAGCTGTTAGGTTATTAGCAGTTGGTTTTGCAGAACAAAAACAGGATGGCTATGCTGTCTTTCTACACATATCTAAATATTCTGTATATTATTTTTATCCTGCAGCTAATATGACTTCAGAGGGATTGAAACTGAAGGATATTATTTTGGTTCATCTGTATATGAAGAGCATGAAAGACTTCAATGTTATAAATTCAGTTTATGTGACAGAATTTGATTTGTGTCCACCAGCAAGGTAGGATTAGACTACTGCTATAGTATATTTATGATACACTGTAACATACTGAATTATTGTTACCATATTTATGAAGCTTTTGTCCAAATGTTTGTGCCTCACAGTCTTAGCAGCAGACTTTTGCTACCTTTTGGAGTAATGATATAAGGGCTGCTCAACTCAAAAACACTGGGGTTGAAAATTGTTGCCTTAATATATACCATAAAGTTTTAAAACGTTCACCCCCTCCCCCCACTCCATATGGCCTTACAGAAGAATAATACATTTTTTTGCAAGTCTCAGTTCTTCTCTGTGGCTTGATTGAGCTGACAAGTCTTTTGTGTTGGTGTAATTTTCTTTTCTTGTTTGTTTGCCTTCCTTGTACTGCTGGCAATGGTCCTCTGAATGTAGCCTAGGATATCATCAGCCCTCTTTGCCTCAAAGGCACATTGCTGGCTCGTGTCCAACTTTGTCTATCAGGAACCTTCAGCTCCTTTTCTGCAAGGTTGCTTTCCAGCCAGTTGGCCTGCAGAATGTACTGGAGCATGGGTTTGTTCCTCCTCAGGTGCAGGACTTCAGCTTCCACTTGTTGAACTTCATGCAGTTCCTGTGTGACTGTTTCTCCAGTCTGTCTGGGTCCATCTGGATGGCAACACAAACCTCGGGTTTATCGACCATTCCTCCCAGTTTTATATCATCTGCAAACTTGCCAAGGGCACATTCTGCTCCATCATCTAGATTATTAATTAAGATGTTGAAACAGCATTGGACCTAGTATAAGCTCCTAGGGTACACCAGGAGTTATTGGCCACGTACAAGACTTTGTACCACTAATCTCTACCCTCTGGACCTGGCTGTTCAGCCAGTTTTCAGTACACCTCAGTGTTTACTCATCCAGTGCATACATCTACTTCTCTATGAGAATGTTAGGGGAGACAGTGTCAGGAGCCTTATTAAAGCCTTTACTATCAATGATTATTAAGTCTTTCTAAAAGTACAAAGGTTTGGAACCTTCTAGGTGACAAACCTTATTCACCTTGTTCTGTTTATTTTGATAAATACAAAAGCAAAATTGTTAGCTGAGGATGTGCCCCAGAGGCACATCACTTGATACTGGGAGATATTTCAAGACAGTACCAATATATACTTACTCTGTTCCTTTTCTTCCTCTGTTTGTAAGCACTTGGCTGTGGTTGAAGATGAGTACTGGACTAGATGGATCTGTGGTTTGATCCAGTGGGGTTGTTCTTAATGTCTTGTGTTTCTGTCAGATAATGATTGTTAGTGGGTAGCTAAGAATGCAAGTATGGAAAGAAATTATTTCAGACTTCTGAATACACTACACTGATGCTAACCCTTTCATTCATAGATCCCCAAATCGTAGCTTTTTAATGTCTGTTGTACAGAATCTTCAAAGTCCAAGTCCACCTTTGACATAATGAAACAGCTTGATGGTCTAGGTATGCAGTAAGTGATTCCTGTGCTATTTGAGTGTGTTGTTGGTTTTTTTCCATTTGAAATTGGGTAGCAAACACCTAGCCCATGAAGTTTTTTCTGCTTTTTGAAAAGTTGTATGTGATAACTAATTTTCCATTTGTAGTTTCTTTATTGCCCTTGTCAAAAGGGTTTCTTATTACAGTAATTCATGTTATTAAGCATCTGAGATAATGTGCTCAGTATGCAGAACTGCTATAGCTTGAAAAATTCAACTTGGATCATAGGTTAATACATGTTGGAAGGGACCTCTGGAGGTCATGTAGTCCAATCCCCTGCTCAAAGCAGGGTCAACTGTGAGGTCAGACCTCATATCTTGTTCTTATTTTAAAACCAACTGTTTAGGCATTTCCTAATGTAAAATACTGTATTTTATACTCTTATTATAGAATATGAAGTGTAGTGTAGGCATGTGAATTTTAAGTATAGCATGACAAATAGTTAAAAGACATTGTTAAGACAATACATATCATGACAGATTCACATTCTCCTACACCATCTGGGTGTCAGAAGAGACTAAAAGAGATCTTGAAGAGGCTTCTTTGAGATGCTGATTGTAGGCCAGGATTACTAAGTCACAGAGGGATGGAGTGTTGATTGTGTGTGCATTAAGAGGAGAGATCTAGTCCCAGCTGTAAACTACACAAAATCTCCACTCCTATGTATCTCAAGTTCTCTTTATGACACTTACACTTCTCCCAATTCAGCTGCTTTCATTTCTCATGCTGCTGCATGTTTTAACCCTTGATATTTGCGTACCCAGCCACGTAGTCTTCCATCACTAAAATAACAGGTAGAAATATTAGGAAGTTGCAGGAAAATTGCTTTTTATTATTATTTTAATGGAAGAAATATATTTATGTTGTATTTTGTCCAGAAGAAAAATTATACAGCAGTTTGCATGGCTGCATCATTGCATTATGCACAGAGACCTGGTTGTGCGAGTTCTCACAAGCTGTGTGCTGGAAGCACTGACTGAGGGGTGTGGATCTGCACTAAATTTGCAAAATTGTCTTGAAAATCTACCAGCCCAAGCAGAAAATCCATTCATCCATGCTTATGTTGATGATAATGAGAATAAAATACTGTATTTGCATGTGGGAGGAGGGGAGAAAAACAGTTTTCTTAGAAGAAATAAGCAAGATAAGAAGAAATTTGTACGGTTATGCTATATGATATGTAAAGAGAACAAGTAATTTTTTTGTTGGATTCCT